TATATTATATATATATATAATATAATATAATATAATATAAGTGATACTTACATTTTCTTTTTACTTTTTTAAGATTTATTTACTCTTTAAGTTATCCCACGATCATGATAATTATTATATAAAAAATAATAATAAATGGTATTACAATATAAATCATTTTAAAAGTGTTTAAATGAATCATATATTTCATATTTTTTTTAAAAATTATAAAAATAATTATAATAAAAATTGAACCTAGATCTTTAATTTTTTTAATTATTCCATTCTCATCCCACCCAATAATTTTCATGTAACTCAAACGACAAATGAAATCGTGATAAATTTATTTATTTTTGTTAGTCAAGTTTTCATAATATTCAATTAATGATTTCTTAAAGCACTTGATGAATTTTTTAAAGAGGATGTCATCAAATCATCCAGGACTTCTTATCTCGTGGAATTAGGAAATTGTTACATAGAAATTTCCAATGTTGAGTATATTATTCGGTTATCAATCCACATGGCTGAATACAAAATGAATAACAAAAGTGAAAATCAGATGTGAAAATAAATATCATATTCGAAAAGTAAGCTAAAAAGTCTGCTTACAATAGTAAATTTATTCTGTTTCACACAGTTTAATATTTTTTAAAAGGTAATTTTTTATAAATTAAAATTAATTTATACATTATAATTTTAAGTTAATTTTAAATTTATAAGGTAAAGTTATTTAATTTTCCTAATTATTTTTTAAATAAATACTTGTAGAAATTTTTAAAATAGAGTCGATGAGTCAGAATAAGATTAAAAGTCATAAGTTTTTTTAATAAACATACTCCGTGCATTATTCCAAAATTAAAAATTATAAACTTTAATTTTTTTTCAATATAATATATATAGACTCTTTCCTTTTTAATTAAATTCTTCTGAGATTTAACAATAGGAAAAATGCAGCCAATATTTATTACTATGTTTTTAAGAATGTGACTTTTCTCCATACAATCATAGGATTAATCTTCATGAATCATGCATGTGACCATAATCAATATATATGTATAATTTATGGTCATATGATTTGATTATTCGTTATAAGGTGACTTTGATCAATATGAACACGAGGCCTAAAGTCGATGAGAATGGGAACATTGAACCAAAGCAGGAAGATGAGCTCAGCATAAGACATCGAGACTAGAAGATACCATAAAGCATGGCATTTATTCTTGCCATGTGTTTATGTGATTCTTCTGTTCTAGACCAATCTAATAATTTGATGAATAGTACAACTTAAAGGGGGAAAATACTAATCTCACCACAAAGTTAATTGTGTTTGACACACAAAAATTACTATCTATTCAATTATTCTTTCAAGACTCGTACCAAACTCATTGATACGATTAGTAAATATAGTTTTCATTTTTTTTTATATATGATTTGATTATTTTTTATTTATTATGACAAACCATTCTCTTTATCATAACTTTATTTTTCTTTTACATTTTTTATTTTATTTGGATAATTATAAAATATATTATTCTTACATGTATCAATCTTATATATAAAACATAAATGACTTGCATGAAAATATTTTTAGATTTTTTTTTTGACAAAATAATTTTTAAGAATTCTGTTAATCTCATATTTAATTTAAATTTTATTTATTATAATTATTTTATAAATTTAAATTATAATTTTTTAAATAAATT